GACTCAAATGAAAATAAAAAGAAGGTTTTATGTTTTTCCCAAGAGGGACAACAAGAGACAATGACGAAATGATTCTGAAGTTAAAAGAAAAAAAAAATAAACAAAAAAGCAGGAACCCCACACAAACATAAAAGACACAACAAAATCAAAAGAACTTTAACGTCTTGCTCGTCAAATAGTACTTTAAAAAATATTCCAGGAGCAAAAATAAAGTGGAAAAACATTTTCTTAATAAATTGGGCTGGCGAGAATTAGTGTCATCTGTAAATAAATGAAGACGACTTACAAATCAGTAAAAAAATATGAGAATAGCAGAATAAAGGACAAAAGAAGTGTACGTGGTTAATTGATGTACTATTTTTTTCAAAAAAAAAAATTCAGAACCGAAGACAGGAAACTAGGAGAAGATTGGTATAATATATTACATTATATCTGTGCATCCTAGAAATCTCTTCAAACGATTAAAAAACAAAGTGCATGAACTCAACTTAAATTTGCTCCATAATTCATAATTCTACAATGTCAGCAGAAAAAAATATAACATTTTCAAAATTAGAGATTAAAGTATATAATTACGTATGAGTATATAATAGTATATAATTGTCACGAAAAGCCGTAGGATGAAACAAGTCAATGACATGAAAAAACGTTTCTGAAATATTACTAAGCAAAAATAATTTGCTGGCACATTATGAACGAAAGACTTGCATTTTTATTTGAAATGAAAGTGCTTCATTTAAGTTGATGTATAAAATAAGCAAATAAAAATCAAATGTCAACAGGACATGGACAATACCGTGTTAAAAATTAGACAACCACGTAAACCAAAAAAGCCCCACTAAAAATGGCAAGTTTGAGCGCCCATTCCATTCCAAACACCGGCGAGAGTCCGATGACCCTGAGAATGCTGTGATTTGTCGGAAAAGCTGATTTAAATACTCAAGGGCAAAAAAGATTTTAAAAAACACCAGCTTCTCTTCAGGGAATACACAAGCAGATATTTTCCTCCCTATTGAGTCTGTTATTTAAAAATCTCATATTCGATTTATTTGCAAGTTCCATAACACCTCGGAAGCAGAATTAGCAAATCCAAACCAAAAAGACGTTTTTGAATGCTGTGTTTTCCACGTGCCCGAACGCTGGAACGACCTACAGGCGGAGTGGGCAGTGAGCACATGCTAGTCTGAAATCACCTCCTCTCAGCTGACAAGGACATCACCGTACGAAAAACATCATACGAATAACCCACGGGGTTTGAGGTTCTTACCGCTGGAACCGGGTTGGTTGGGGTTCGGATTCGGCTTGGGCTTGGGTGGGTTGGGCGGTGCCGGGTCATCTGTCAGAGATGAGAGTTGCAGTGGTGAGTGTTTTGCAGTAAAGAGACTGAAACATCTGTTTGCACACGGGCAGTTTACTAAACCGTCAGAAATCGGAGATCATCTTTTGTCACAGGAGGGACAGCCATCGACACAGCCTCCTGCCAAATTCTTCCCATCACCCTCCAGCTAGAGCGCTTAACTTCAATTATTTTCCACAGAAACCAAAGCAGGTGTGCACACCAGCTACAAAATATGCAGGGTCCCAGGCAAGATGCAAATGCAGGACCCGTGGTTCAAACTGTGTGAAGAATTTCCGGAACGCAGCAACCGTGTACTAGACCCATACAGAGCCCCTGAGTGACTGCAGATCCCACAAGCCTAGGAAGCCAGCCCCGGCCAGGGTAGTCACAATTGCCTGAGGTCATTCCAAAGACACTGAGAGTTTTAAAACAAAAGCAAGCATGCTGGGGAAAAAACAAAAAACAAAAAACCAAAAAACCCAACAATAAGGACAAAAAAAAAAAAAAAACCCCGACGACGATATACCTATTCCCTAGGTTGCCACGGCAAAAATGGGTTCCAGTTACCATTCCCAAGAGATGAGTCTCTTTGAAATGACCACAGTTCGATCACAAGTTAATAAGTTGGTGTTGGCAAGGCAGTAACACAGGAGATTTAAAGGGGTTACTCACTGTGTCCTCCGCCACCAAGAGCATCTTCTAGGTTAAAATCGTCCCCTAGAGGAGGGAAAGGCGTCGTTAACACCAAAGTTCCGAGTGCACGAGGAAGGGCCTTGCAAACAGACAGAAAAAACACCGCATGCCCACATCCTGTGCTGCCACCATTGCCTGCCAAGAAGTCCCCAGTGACTTCTCCGGGATAGACCCTAAGAGGCAGGGACAGAAAACTGGGATCTGAGCTGAAACCCTACAGAGGAAGATCAATAACTGAACAGAGCTGTTAAATGTTTAAAAAAAAAGAATCAGACAGTGTTGAGCTAAGACAATGATGCCGTAACTTTGCCCACCACGTTTGCTCTGTGAGTCTCTCCACCCACAGGATGTGATGTTCGGGGCATTCCACGATTTGTCCCGTATTCCTGATTTTTATTTGCGAGCGTGGCACAAGAGCACCTGGCACGCAGGTCCTTGGGCCGAGATGCGTGTCGCTCACAGGTTATTGGGGAGCTGAGCCCTGAACGTTTTCTCTCCCAGGGACTGAACCGTGCCAGAACAGACCAGCTCAGATCCTCGGAGTAAAAGGACACAGAGATGTTGTCAAAATGTCCCAGAAGCACCAGCAACCGTTTAGCTCACGGAGGTCACGGCACGAGACTGTCGGTATCACCACACAATTCAAATATTAACCAGACCAGATCCAGAGCCCTCGAATGACGCATCTTTTCCTCCTAGTTGTCTAAGCTCTGTCCTGCGGTCAGGGACCAGTGGTTCCTCTCTCTCTTTGCAAACTAGAACCGCTTGCTTCTTACCAGGACTGGGCTTTTTGGGGGTTGGAGTGGGTTTCTTGTCTTCGTCACCTGAAGAAGAAAGACAGTTTCGTCAGTAAGGCTCACAGCTGGGGAAAGAACACCAACCCTCTTTGGTTGTTAGGGGTGTTGCATCTCCTGGTTGTTAAGGATTTCCTCAGAAATAGCTGGAGAATGTTTTCGGCATCATTTTTCCTCCCCAGCCCGGACAGTGGCCGAGCTGTGTAGGATGACTCTTCATCCCAGAAGGACCCATGGGCCAGGGTTTTCGGCAAGACCCAGAACCCCTTCCCTACCTCCTGCCGTTGAATAAAGGTTAGGAGTTAAAGATTCACCACAAAGCCGAGAAAACGGGATGTTTAGCACAAAAACTGAACTCGGAGAGCCCGAGGTCCATGCATGAGGAGGGATGATGGACCCAGGGTTGAAATGCTGTTCGTGATTCTTACGTGAAGCACATTCCTGGCTCCCCGAGACCCTCCCCAGACGCCCCCTCTGGGAATGGAAGCCACCCAGCCTGAGGCTGCAAGACCAAGGACGCCTCCCACTACAGGAAGCACTTGTTCCCACCGGCCCAGAATGGGTAGACGGTTGGGAAAAAGATTATCTCCTTTGGTGAGTTAAAAAAAAAAAGTTAAGAAATGGGACCTGGGTTAAAAAATGTCTCTGCAAAACCCACATCCACCCAGAACCTCAATATAGGACCTTATTTGGAAATAGGGTCTTTGCGGATGTAATTGGGGAAGGATCTCGAGATGAGACCATCCTGGATTAGAGAGGGCTCTAAGTCCAATGGCAGGTGACCTCCTAAGAGACAGCAGAGGAGACACAGACGCAGAGGAGAAGCCACGTGGAGACGGAGGCAGAGACTGGAGTGACGCGGCCACAAGCCCAGGGACGCCCGGAGCCCCCAGGAGCAGGAAGAGGCAGGAAGGAGCCTCCCCTGGAGCCTGCGGAGGGAGCGCGGCCCCGAGACACCTGCATCTCACACTGCTGGGCTCCGGCACTGGGAGAGCGTGAATTCTGTTGTTTAAGTCACCCCATTGGTGGTGCCTTATTATGGTCGTAGCCATAGGAAAAACTACAAGGGGAAGGTGATATCTAAGCCAGAATAAGGAGGAATTTCACCATGTGCTTTGGATGAAGAGAGGGAGACAGGGGGGAAGGCAGAAAAGAGGCGGGGTGTGGGCATGTCCCTCCCAGGAACTGGGGCGTGTTCACCCCACCGGCAACTTCCCCAGGCACCTGGCACGAGTGTGAATTATTCCACTGGGGAGGGTTGATTTACCCTAACCAGGGCATCTTGGTTTTCCTCACCGTAGATTAGCACGGTGATGGCATGAGGCATGCTTGAACACACAGGCATGCCTCATCCTATTGCATTCTAATTTACGGCGCTTCCCAGATACTGTGTTTCTTTTACAAACTGAAGGTTGGTGGCAACCCCGTGTCCAGCAAGTCTATGGGCACCATTTCTTCCAAAAGCATGAGCTGCACTTTTTAGCAACAAAGTATCTTTTAATTAATGCATGCACGTTGCTTTCTTAGACATAATGCTACCGCATACTTAATAGACAATAGTAGAAAGGAAACAACTTTTCTAGGCACTGGGGAACTGAAAAAAAAATGGTGTGACTCATGTTCCTGTCTTATTGTGGAACCAAACCCAAAACGTCTCAGGTATGTTTGTATCAACTACATGAAGGTAACATAGTTACGGTATTCTACAAAATGATACCAGTGCTTACCACCGAGGGCGTCAGACAAGTCGAAATCTTCATCTAAGAGGAAAAAAAAAGAGTCAGATTAGAAATAAGGAAAGATAAATTTGAAAATTACGAAGATGAAAAAATGGTATGATATTTTTCTGACTTTGTGATATTTGTAGTATTTAAAAGAGCAGCTTTTATAATGTGCTTTTATAAATGTGTAACATTTATAATGTGCTGCTATTTCTCTTCTCATCCTAAATATTCACTTTCACGCCTGAAAGTAAGAAGACATTAGCCTATGTTTTAAATAAATGCTGACTCTCGAGTTTAGTAGAAATCAAAAATGCGGGAAGGCCGGGCGCGGTGGCTCGTGCCTGTAATCCTAGCACTCTGGGAGGCCGAGGAGGGTGGATGGCTCAAGGTCAGGAGTTCGAGA